AATATTTAATTATATAAATATTTATTTATTATATTAAATTATAAAAATATTAACATAAATATATATTGGGCCAGCTGTTAGATGTGGCCCAGTGACAGCCGGATCTAGGCCGGCTGTCACTGGGTCAACTGAGGCCGACCCAAAGGCCTTTAACAGCCGTTTTCTGGGCCTGCTGTGGCCCAAATGATAGCCGGCCCATATTCAACTGTTAACATTCGAATCTAGCCGGAGATGCTGTTAACAGTCGGTTTGGGCCGGTTGTGGCCCAACATCTGACCAGATGCTGTTAACAGCTTTTTTTGTCGTCGGAAATGGATGCTGTTAAGCTCCAAAAATCAAATATGACTCCCTCAAATACTTTTAAATCAACTCCACAATCAAACAACACAAAATAAACGAACTAAAATACATTAAATTCGAACTAAATCTATGAAAAACCTATGTATGAAAAATCCATTTTAATGACAACAACCAACCTTTCAAGTCGTCGGTGACGTCTTTGCCCATTTTCAGGTGGTCAGTTTGAAGCTTTCAGGTGGTCGGTCGACAATGAGAGGTCGGTGAGAGCTTTCCTTTTGTCAAATGAGGGTATTTTTGGCTTTTTAAATGTTAACCTATATTTTGACCCTTTTTTTTTTTTATTCTATTTCCTAGTCGAAGGTCATTTTGGAATTATACAAGAATGGGAAGGTCATTTCCTCCTATTTCCTGTGAAGGACCAGTTAGTTTAGACTTTGAAAGAGTCTGTTAAAGTTTGGTGGGAAACACCCGGGATATGAAAAGAAACCACCAATTAAACAAAGTAGTATTTCTATTCATACTTCATGGGTGTACCGTGTACATAAATAGAAGTGAAAAATTGTAGAGGTCAAAGTTAAAAACTAAGAATCTCTCTCCCTCCTCAAGTTCGTGTGTTTGTGAAGAATTTGTATCTATCTTCAAAAATAGTAATGGAGTCGTGGTTTTGTAGAAAGGAATAACTAATAGGTAGTCATTATTACAACCTCAAATTGTGAGTATATCAAGGTAGACTTAAAAAAATCTCTCTTATTCATTTTCAAATCCCTGGTATTTTGTTATTGGTAAATACTCTCTCTCTCTCTCTCTCAAAATAAATCTTTCACAATTCATCTCTATATGCCCATGTAATGATTCTTTAGATATGGGTTTTGAATCATGATTTAGGGACGTAGAATGTTTGTATTTGTGATTGCCAAGAATATAAATGTCTTCAAAAAATCTTTTAGGGCTCGTTTGTGTAGATTTTTTGAAAATAGATTATGTGAAAGGGATATTCTTGAAGAATGTGTGGTTAAAAAGTTGGAATATATTATGGATCTAAGTATAAAATTATTTTATTGGGAGAGTGGAAAAATGAATTTTAAAGAATATGTATTGAACAAGGACTTAGTGCATTTGTGGCTTCTTTTTCGAATATACTGTATGTTTATTAGCATTATTGGCTTTGATCAAATTGTATGTATATATACAATAATACGTATGTTAGCACAATATTTGCATTTTTGATCATGGAGAGTCCTAGCTATATTACTTTAGATTTATGGGTTTTGTTGGTATGCTACATATTGGTTGTTTATATATTTTTTATTAGATTTGTTATTGCCCATTGTAATGATTTTATGCCTACTTTGACATTTTCTTCTGGTGAAATCCATTGCTTTGCTAGGTAACAATTAGATTAAAGGAAAAAGTTTGAGATCCCCGTTGAAGAAAGTTAGATTATTTTCTCATTTTCTTTTGGCGCAATTAATTGCTTTGTTAGGAAACAAATAGATCAAATGAATTCAGATATCTGTTAACAGCAAGTACAGCAAACAAAGGGCTTTCATTTGGTTCATTCATTATTTTCGATATCATTTCAGGAACAAGAATCGATTACATGCTTGTGTAGGTCTAGTAATTAGTTATTACCGGAAGAAAGAAGGAATATACGTATCATATATACATCTATTTTATTTATTTGGATGTATATTTCCATGATTTGTAGATGGCTGTGTTGGAATAATGTCTACATTCCCAGGCGGAAATATTATATATTCTTAACACGAATTTTTTGTTTCTTGGTAAATATGTAGGCATTCAACAAGTTCGTAATTTATGGGAGTTCATAAATATATCTGTCTTGTATGATCAAAGTTGCACACTGCAATCATGAGCGACAATATGTCAGGACCTCGAGAACGTCCTTTTAGGCCAAGCAAGTGTTTTCAAGTATATATTTGTCCTCAAGCTTTATTGCGCAGTTATTTAGCATAATTGATCTTTGATCTTGCCTATGAATATCAGAAATTAAAAGCTCGTCTCTGCATAGAAATGCTTTAGGTGAAATATTGAGATGCACTAGTGTCCATGTTAAGAACAGGTCCGTAAAATAATCTAAAGTTTACAGATAACTCTTGAAATCGTGGTGCGCAAACAGAAAAAAGCTGGTTTATTTTTGAAATCTTGTGATGGAATGAATTTAGAGCTGCGTGTCATATCCACTGTTGTGTACCAAACAAGCATTCATGGTTTAGATTATCATAAAGAATTTAAGAAATTATAGATGGAGGGCATAATGTATATTACACTGTGTGATTAATAGTTCATTTCTTCAAACTCTATTTTAGGTCTCGAAAAAGTCGACATGGAAAACTCTGAGGATGAGAGGAAGACAAGGCTTGGGTCTCTCAAGAAAAAGGCAATTAATGCCTCTACCAAGTTCAGGCATTCCTTGACTAAAAAGGGCAGGAGAAATAGTAGAGTTATGTCTATAGTGCTTGAGGACGAGCGTGATGCGGAGGAATTAAAGGCCGTGGATGCCTTTCGTCAAGCACTAGTCTTGGAAGAATTACTACCGGAAAAGCACGACGACTATCATATACTGCTAAGGTGTACTTTATTCTTTTCTCATATTCTACGATTTGTATCGAGAAAACACTTGACATTTAATGAATACATTATATTCTTGACGGTAAGGCTTGTTTGTTTTTTGTTGATCATGCAGATTTTTGAAAGCCAGGAAATTTGATGCTGAGAAAACAAAGTAAATGTGGACTGATATGCTGCAATGGAGAAAGAAATTTGGTGCTGACACAGTTATGGAGGTACTGATGGCCAAATGGTAGTTTTCAAAGCTAAATAATTCTGGTAAGCATCGATTTGCATTTCTTCCCTGATTGTTATTATCATTTTTAGGATTTCGATTTCACGGAGAAAGACGAGGTCCTTAAATATTGCCCTCAAGGGCATCATGGAGTCGGCAAGGACGGGAGACCTGTTTACATTGAAAGACTCGGTCAAGTTGATCCAGTGAAGCTCATGCAAGTCACAACAATAGACCGCTATCTCAAGTACCACGTTCAGGAGTTCGAGAGGACTTTTGTCGACAAGTTTCCAGCCTGTTCCATTGCAGCCAAAAAGCACATCGACCAGAGCACAACCATTTTGGATGTACAAGGAGTGGTATGCATGGGTGTTCTCTATAATTAAAAGCAACCAGTAATTTCATTTCCAAAGTAAATCAAATGCAGTTTTGAAACCCTTTTAAATAAGATACTTAAACAAAAAAAACAAATGTGATTGCATTTTCCACTAATAATCATTAGATGCAGGGACTGAAAAAATTCAATAAAGCTGCTAGAGATCTAATTCAGCGCCTCCAGAAGATTGATGGTGATAATTATCCTGAAGTAATTATTTTGCTTTCTTTTTTCTCGTTTTAGAACCACTTTTTTTCTGCTTTATATATTTTTCACTTGAATTATTGTTTTGGAATTCTGATCGGGCATTTGCATGTTCAATATATTGTGTAGACTCTATGTCGAATGTACATCATCAATGCAGGGTCTGGATTCAGGCTTTTATGGAGCACCGTCAAGTCATTCCTTGACCCTAAGATCACGGCGAAGATTCATGTGAGCTATAATCAGCTTATGCCAAATATCGCTTAGTCTTGTCAAATTCAGCGAAATGACTGGTTGTGCCTTTTCTTTTTCGAGGTTTTGGGAAATAACTACCAGAGCAAGCTGCTTGAGATTATTGATGCTAGGTAATCTCTGTCGTTGAATCTAGCGGATTTTCCGCTTTAACAGAAACCTATAAATTCGATGTCAAATCCCGCTCTTTTTTCTTCTCTCGACCTGGTGAGGTCAGATTTCTCGACCATGGAAGTGAAGTGATAGGAAGAGAAGACTGTTGCTTGACATCTACATTCATATAACCCTCACAAAAGATCCTTGTTTGGCTCTCTTTAGCCCTATGTCTCTTATCCTAGGATGTCTTCCTCCACTAGCAAGTTTTCTTGGAAAATTCTTATTTATTCTCGAGTCGAAGGGAGGCAGGCCTATATTCCTTAGTTTTAATACTTCTTAAAACTTCTATAACAGCATTCTATTCTTTTGATTTTGTTTCAGCGAGTTACCAGAGTTCTTGGGAGGTAAATGCACATGTGCAGAAAAAGGCGGTTGTCTGCGTTCTGATAAGGGCCCTTGGAATGACAAGGAGATTATTAGGGTTATCTATTTCATCAAAATCTATCTTCACTTTACTGATTTTCTTTTTCTGTCTTCTGATTCTGTGTTTACGAACTATTAATGATGGGAATTGATAATGATAGATGGTACGCAATGGCGAGCATAACTACTCGAACAAAATTGTCATTCTAGCTATGGACGAGAAAATAATTTCACAACACGAGGATGCTAATTCTAAGGTACACAATCTTTCAGCACATCTACCTCTTTTCTTATTCTCGCTTTTGCGGCCTACTTTTATAATTATGACATTGAACTCTGACCTTAAACATTTTGCGTCTAGAATGTGAGGAAAAACGTTTCTTTCAGCTTGGAAACAGATTCTCTGAAGGTTACTAGGGACTACACAGCAAACCCACAGCCGTCCCCCGTTCATGAAAAAGTAAGTTGTAACGGAACTACTATTGACTTACTGAACGGAGTGACGGAAAAAGATTTGTGTACCCAAGCCGAAATTTGAAATTTGTTGCGAACAAGGCTTAGTTTGCTGTTCTTGTATTACTAGTAAAACTACAACATTTTGCCTCGGTATTATTAGTCATTTGAAACTATTGGATTTGTTCAAATGAAATCTTCACTTTTCCCTTTGAACCGCATAGTTTTTAACGTTCTATGAAATCTTCACCTTTATTTAGCATATTCAACCTGAGGAATGTGTACCAGTTGGCAAAGCTGTTGATTCTACTCGGCCGAAGGCAGTAAAAACTGACAAATTTGCTCCTGAAGGTACATAGTCACACTTTAGATTATTTGAAATAACAAATCCTAGCTCACTTCCAGTCGGGATATTCTGTGTATATATGAAACATGTGTAATATGTTCGTGACATGTTCAGTATGGTGGATTCAACCATACTAGACAGGACAACTGACAAACTTTGTTACTCATTTTTTAATCATGTCTAGTCTTGTCAAATCCCGTGTTTCTTTGTTACGGACAGAATGTTTACTTTTTGACTTCCATTCTTAAGGAAGTTCACAGGTATTATTATTGGCTTCATGCACATTGAGATTGTCCGTTTAATCCAATTAAGCCAACATTATCTTGTCAAAACTGTCGCAATGTGGTGAGTTTACCAGGTTTTCCCATTTTCCTCTCCCCATAGCTGTTGATTACGTCTTTGTCCACAATGCTTGTAAAACTTCGGAAGGAATTAGGAACCGGATCTTTACCAGGGTGATGACCTTAGTTATGAGCGTAGTTACCATGGTCCGAATGACACGGAACATGCCAAAGAAGCTCATAGCTGCTACCCTCTACTCGACTTCCATGTACGGCTGTCAACAGATGATTAAAGATCAGGCACCAACATACAAATTGCCAGAAGCTGCTATCTCAAGGACTCGGTACATCAGCATGATGAAACGTATGAATGAACTAGAAGAGAAGGTGAGGATTCTCAGCAAGAAGCCAACAGCTATGCCCCCCGAAAAGGAGGAAATGCTTAGTGCTGCGTTGAGTCGGGTCAATATCTTGGAGCAAGAGCTTTCAACGACTACTAAGGTATCTGATTTTCTCAATCTCCTGCTCGTAGTGGACAAGAGATACGTTGTCCACCGGTGGTGATGTGTAACGACCCGGCCTCTCACCGGAGCCATTATCTTACGTACTGTTCGTTCTGGGGTGGGCTTCTGCCCACTTATCCCCTCACGACTTTCTGACGCGTCCCCCAAGATTCGAACTCAAGACCTCCATCATATGGGAGACTTAAGTTGAATCCTGGTACCAATTGGGCAACTGCCATATGATGGAGGTCTTGGGTTCGAATCTTGGGGGACGCGTCGAAAGCCGTGAGGGGATA